AAAAAAAATAATGCAGTCAAGGGGCAATGGATGTATTCCTGTTTCTTAACAAATAGTCTTGAGTTAGGAATTGAAGGATATATGAGGGGATTGATGGTGGCATTCTACAGCTTGGGTGGGGTGCATGATAAGATTAGGTGGTGTTGGGTTATAAAAATACATATCATGTGTGTGTCTGATAAGTCAGGTTAGGATAACATTACAAGTTAACACCAGGTAACATATTATCTCAATTGAATTTTTGTCAACTGTATCTATTGAAAAGCTCTTTGAAATGACACTTTTTCTGATACGATTTTGGCCAAGGTTCCAGAAGGGGCTTAAATGACGAGATACCCCTCCCTGGGTAGTACAAATCAATTTTGATAATTTTTTAAACTAGTAATTCTTGGACAGATTTTGAAAATGGCCAAATACTGGTATGTGTTTTGTGTAATTTATCCAATTTTCAGTGGGGTTTTTTTTTAACAATAATAGGTGTGATAATGTTGGTAGCATTTTGGCAATTGTTTTGCAGGAATATACCATTTGCATTTTTCGGATAACATCTAATTTTGTATGGCTGAATCCACACTTAATGGACTCAAATTGATTATTTGACATTTAATTAAAGTAAGGATGCACCATTGACATTTGTCGCTAAAATATCAAATTAAAAAATGGTTTATATGTTTACATGTATATACATCTAGCATCAGGCTCATTGATATTAATTGGTGTCGAGATATTGATGGAGCCTTCTTTTGTGACCTAGCTTACATCCACAAAAGCAATAAGGAAAAAATAACAGTAAGGAGTGAATTCAGATCAGATCAAATTTAAAATCTAACTTTAAATAAGCAGTTTATTCAATGTAATTAATTTTATTTAATATATTAAAAATAACTATCGAAAATCCAAATTTTCTGCTGAACTTCTTCAAAACCCTAATTTGTACTACTTAATTTGGCCAATAAAAATCAAAACAGCACAGACACTTGAAGGGATTAAAGGGCTAATCCCGATAATTTTTTGGAGAATAAAACTGTTTAATTTTGTTTTAAAATCCCTGAAAGTCCTCTTCCTAAGGATCGAGCAACTAACTCAATATTTGTGATAAGTTTTCAAATATCTGAAACCCGTCAGTCTTCATCTGTTAATGGAGACCAGTGTCCCAAGCTGTATTATGCGGTGTCTAGATAAAACCAGACATTTTTTGTATAAAAAAAATGTGTAGGTGACATTTGCCTTTCGTTATCAAGTACAGCATTTGGTTCATTCACTGTATAGACCTCTAAAGGAACGGCAATCGATTATCAGGTCTCCCAGCGAAAAAATTGACCCAAAATCTTAAAAGGGTTACGTGTCCAGATAAGCAGTTTTGACGGTCACGTCCAAACGACTCAAAATATTGAGCTGAAATTTTGAGATAAGGTCAATACACCATTACTGTAATATATAGTCAAAGAGTAGTAAGACGTTTTATTTTAATCCCTTCAAGTGCCTGTGCAAAACAGCTGTATCATGCAATTGTATCCCCTGCAGATTCATACAATTGTCATCTCCTGCAGATTCATGCAATGTAATTTAAAAAATAAATCATCCTTATTTTACAAAGAATAGACTAATTTTAGTTGTTCAAGTTTGTTTGAAACTTAGGAAACATAAACAATGAAATGATATGATTTAATCCTAATACAAACTTAAATTTGCTTTTTATTATTCAGTATATTTAGATTTAAAATCACATAATTTTCCAAAATAATAACGTAGCCCTTTTTCAGTGAAATGCATCTTGTTTTATTATCATTTTAATCTTAAAGCACCTCATTGTGCTTGATATGTCAAGAGAATCATTGTTCAAAGGTTACTTCTATTAAATTCAGTAGCTTGTTCATAAAGGTTGTGTTTTGTTTATATATTTAAGTTCTTTATTTTGCCACCTTTTAGAGCCACCACACAGTGTCAAAATTGGATAAATTATATTGCCAAAGACTCTTTTAAATCTTTGATAGGTGACATAAAACATGATTTGTTATTTATTTTAGACAATTTTTGCTCAAGAAGGGTGATAAGATAAGATAAATTTTATTACATAAAAACACCCATGGGGAGCAGCATACAATTATATAAATTACATTTATACAGTACAACCGATAAAAATATACATGTAACAATCGAACTAGTTCGAAGTAGAAGCCGCTTTATAGCAAGGGGGATAATAGGCCTTTGTGTTTTTCCTTTAAGACTCTTTAGTTTCGGAGTCAGTAATATAAACACTTTATAGAAACAATCAAGACAGATGATTTTGACAATAAAATACACTAGGTGTAGCAAGTACGTTATATTTAACAAGCACATTAATAATCAGTATATCACTCTCTGGTTTTGGAAGCATGATAAACAAAATTTGAGCAGACAAATTTTGCAACTGGTGAGGGTGGTTGCAAAATTTGTCTGCTCATTTGTTTAGCATGCTTGTTACTATACTGATTAGTGTGCTTGTTAAAAATATCGTACCTGCTAAACCTAAGTAGTGCAATATGAACATGCAATAATCATAGTCAGGATACCCGCCCTAGCCCCCTCCCTCCTTTGTTGATCCCACTTTGTTTGTGAAGGTTTTCTCATGTTAGTGATATGTGACAAGGAGTAGGGTCATCAGTCCAACCACGTGAGTTTCCCCCCACTGCTAAAGACCCCTGCGCACAAAAGTGATTTATTGAAATAAAATTGAAAAATATGTTAGTCCTGAAATGAACTAATTTGTGTCATGTGGACGTTAAACTCCATTTCTATCTCTCTCGTGTTAGTGATGCAGGGTGGAAAGCCTCGAATCTGGTCATTTCAATGGGAAAAAAAATGTGACCCACCCATATATTGTTCCTGTGCACGTAAAAGAATCATTGACGGGTGAAATTTGATGAAGATTAGGTAGAACTGTCTGGTTGGTGCAAAAAAAAACATCTCCTACTATTCACCTAAATCTCATAAAAAAAGGGCATAAAATTGAAAATCCAACAGCTGTAACTTGTGTTGAAATATGTTATATAAATTACTCAACAATAAAATATCAAACTCCCTGCAGCAAACAATTGTTTAAACCTGTTAGAATAAATCATTTTAATATCTAACTAAATTAATTTCGAGTTCACTATTTAAAATGTTTTATGCAAATCCTTATAAGGTTTACATTATTCAGGGCTTGGAATAGTTAATGCTTGAGAAGTCTTGAAAAGTATTAAACAATTTCCATTAAAGTTAAAGAGTTGGCCATTCTTGCTATAATAATTCAAAAATAGATGATAAAAAAAGAAAACATTGAAAATTTAAGTCAAATTACTTTATTCTGAACGGAGTTGTCACTGTTGAAGTTTCGACTAGAAATAGGCATCAACTGTGTCCGCACCGTCTACGAGAACTGCCAAACGTTTGATTGACAGATGATAACTCCACCCACATATTCTTGATTATCAAGTAACATTTTCAATGGCTATGGTACCCTCGCTTGGTAGGCCTTTCATCACCAGTTTCCAATATTGACGTCAGTGACTAACGGTAAATGTTAGCTTTGTCAGCCATTTCTTGATTTAATTTTAAATGGAAGACTGTTTAAATCTAAACCATCCAAGGGTCTATAGAGTTGATTTTGAGCTTGTCATGTAAAGGTCTAATTTATAATTTCTATAACATCTGAAGCCTAAATAAAGTCTTGCAATAGGCAGATTTAGCTCTTGCATAATGTATGTTTAAGTGTTTATTTTACTGTAAATAAGACCAGTTTGTGGAGATTTTTGGACCAGCAATTAAGCGCCAAGTGCTTCTCATCTTGTTGTTCTTCTACTTGAAAAAAAGATATATGTATGTTAGTCTCGAAATGTCTTTTTTTGCATTGATTGGAGTGGATACTATTCTTGTTGTCTCTCTCGTCTCTCTTTAAATTTTAGGCATCTACATATTCTATAACACATGTGAAAGATTATATTTTATCTTTAAAAAGGTCATGGTGACTTGTATCATGGATAATTTTACTAAATGTCCATGCTTCACTGATATCTTTGTCATTATGAAGTTATATTGTGAATCATAGGATTGAATTACAATATCATAAGATATCTTTCCAAAATACTTTATGATCACAGGATGAAAAAACAGTTAGTTTTTGAACCCTCAAATGATATCAGATGTTAGAGTAAGAAAAACATACTCTTCCATCGGTTGTTTGTTTAAAGCATACTGTCACCACGATCTGTCAAGACCCTACAATTCCCTCTCTATGGTTTAGTTAATTATGGGTTACCTTAACATTGATATGACATCGTAGAGCATAGTCCTCTTAACGAGTATGTATTCTAATAAGAATGAGACTGAATGGAATAATGTGTCCTACTGGTAATATTTTAATACATGTATATAATTAATATTATAAGCCTATCTTCTATGTCTATAATCTTCTTTGTATTCTTTTAATATTTTAATCTGTGTCTAAATTGTTGTGTGTATGTTAAGTTTAATATAGGTATCTAGGGGCTACACAGGTAACAGGCTACATTTAACTTAGGCCAACTCTTGAAATTATACCTCTTAGTTGTGCATAATTCTATATAGTTATAAATTAGTTCTGTGTAATGTCTGTTATAATTGTTATTACTGTATCTACATAAAGTTCTACAACTAACTGAATCAAGTGTTATGATCTATGATGAATAGCCAACAGTACTAAGAACCAAGCTGGTTACAATACTCTAATTCAATATAAAAGGCACAAGATTAAGCCATGTTGTTCATATATATTTCACAAATATTGTTTAGGAGAGAATCTGTAGCATAAAAGTTTTAGATCAGATGTTAATAACTAGCCTACTGAAAACTAAAACTACCAGTCGACCATCAAAATATTGAATATCCATAATACAAATTTGGATGAAAGTCAGACAATAAATTGGTTTCTGCTCACTGGGTGTCTGACTAAATGTATTTTTTTTAGAGATAAATAAATGATTTTTATTCTCTTATTTCAGAGACATGACTTCCAATGTTTGCAGTATGATCTCCCATCAAGAGGTAAGCAGGAAATAACAATTTTGCCAAATGTAGCTGTTACCACTCTCTACACTGTTGTCAGTAACTGTGCCCATGTATTTTTGTCACATCCGGAATGTGCATTTCAACCATAGCATAGATTTTGGCATTACAATAACAGATCAGACCTGGAGCTTAATAAAGTACTTATTGCTTAATAATAACATACCTATATTGCTTGATAACATACCCATTGCTTGATAACATACCTGTTGCTTATTAACATATCCTATTGCTAAACAGGAGACACAATGTTTAATGTCTGTTTGTCGTTATTGGAAACCATTTTAAATAAATGATTGAACTTACAGTTTTTAAAATAACTACGTCATAACCCATTTTTGCAAGAAATGTAATGGTGCTATTCATTTTGTATTCAGTGCAGTATGTAATAAAATAAATCAGATATAGAATATTAACCGATGTATTCACAAAAACAAGTCCAATTGTTTGATTATTATTCAAGTTAGTAAATACTACTGATATTGCATCGCTGCACTTTTTTTTTTTGGTGGGGGGGGGGAATGTTTTCCTCTTTGATTTCTATATTCAACTGAATGATTTGGGGTATATTCAGTATTTTATATATTTCAGAATGTGAGTTATCTGGTACGGAATTACCAATTCAAGACGATGACAATTCAATTGATAGGCCCATTAACTTTATGTCAGATGTCACCAAGGTCAGGGTCAATGGTAGTAGCGGAAGTGAATGGATTATACCTGTGATTGGGTTTTCTTGGTACCCACCACAATCTGGTAAATATCTTTGCTCTAACTTTAAATAGCTAAACTAGCATCCTTGTCTAAAGCATAGTCTGGGTGTACAAAAGATTAATATTCAGATAGATAATACGGTATGTGAAATTACAATACATGTATATATATTGGTATCAAGTATTCAAGAAAGTAAGTAGTTTAGTATAGCAACAAGCTAAAAGCTCTTGAACCAACGCTTTCATTTCCATCATGGGGTTTACATCTGTATTTGATCTTGTGAGTGTAATCTCTGGGAAAGCTTTAACTTTGAATTAAATCAGTTAAATATTAGGTGGGTGCTAGGTTAAACACATTGATAGGTCCTTAAGAGTATTTCGAAATCAATCCTTTTCCTGTATTCACATCCAATGTAAAGATTTATATACAATATTTGCGTAACATGTGAAATATACAATTATACATATATATATATTTATCTTATTTTGAATACAGTTGTGTCAACAGTCAGATATGTTTTGCACAAATCATGCAGTGACTAGTTGCTGTAGTCAACCATAGCACTGCTTCCTGCTGTGAAACAACTATGGCACGTTTATTACACTAATTTTGAATGGAAATCAGATAAATTGCTTTATGATTTTTAAATGTATTTGTATATTTTCGCCACCTTCTGTCCGTTCCTCATCCACACTTCTTTGTGGATGCTATGTGTTTATATCCAGTAGAGGAGACTTAATTTGCAATAATTTATCAAAATCTGCTTCCAGAGTTATTGCTCTTGATTTGAAAAATCTTGTTAATGCTCTAGCAGCTAAAAGTTCAGTCCTCTGACTGAATTGAAATGTACACAATGTTCATGTTCACAAAGCAAAAGACGTTCCGATAAAAATTTATACACAGTGATTGTGTGCATCTGACAAACAGTCCTGTTAATTACTGTGATGGCTCTAGAGGCTAAGTATTAAAGTGATCATCAGATTGCAATGACCATTATAATTAGCTAATGTAAGCTCATGTTTTCTAACCTATCATTTTTCAGGTATATCTCTGAAGAATTTAAAAGGGTTTTTATTAAATGCACTATGTTTAGCTGGTGATAATTGTTTAAAAACATCGTTCTGTGTCATGTTTGATCTTAGACAGAATAATTTGTCTATTGATGATAGAATGGTGAGTAATGGAAGAAATGTGGTATTTATAAACAGTTATGTGATATGCAGTCTTTGTAGATTCTGTTTTATTCATTATCCAGTATTAAAATAGGGGAGGTCGCTTGTCGAAGCTCCTGGGTTTTCTCCCACTGCTAAAGAACGTTATGTGCAAATGAATTATTGAAATAAAATTGAATCTTATATTAGAGCGTATACATTTACTACCTAGCTGTAGTGGACTATAAACCCCATATCTCTCTCTCTGGTACTAAGGTCACCGGAAAAGCATCAATTTTTTTTTAAATAATGCAAGTAATTATGTCAACATATCCTTTCCATAAGTATAACCCGAACCCGAATGTCAATATTACCTGCAACAGGTAAATTTCAACATTAGTAATTTTAGTCCTTCTGCACATAGAAATATAGACTAGAATATGAGCAGTTCGAAGAACTAAAATGACGTCACAGATTGTTTATTTACGGAAAATTACGACTACCCACGGAGAATGGCGGAAATTACTAATGTTGAAATGTACCTGTTGCAGGTAATATTGACATTCGGGTACGTGTTATACTTATGGAAAGGATATGTTGACATAATTAATTACTTGCATTATTTAAAAAATTTATGAACCTTTTCCGGTGACCTTTAAACTAGTTTCAACTTTCATGTCAACAGTTCAATTGCCAGTCATTGTTTATAAACAGAGCTAATGTGCTTTAATAGCTATTATTCATACTCTGCAGACTTAACACAAGGCTGTTGGATTGAAGATTATTATATAATGTACGTAGAGCATGGTTGAAACAATTTGTCTTTTATTGCCACCCCTGTCCCAATGTTTACGCAGTAAAAGATTGATGTTACAATGTATATGCCTAATTAAGAGCTTTCTCCATTTTACGGTGAACTCGATTAATAAATATGTCAGTGCAGATGTGGAAGTCTGGTGATTGTTTGATTACTTGATAGCTACTCATAAATGTGGTTTACAACAAACATGTAATTGGTTGATTAAAATTCAAAAGGGTTTCCAAAGTGCCTGTGAAATTGGTCTTTGTAATCATTCCTTTCTTCTTGCGGACTGCATGCAGTTTGTTTATTGAAATATCTGTGTATCAGTTCCACAGCTGTGGTATCCAACACCTGCACAGAAGTTTTCATTATAGATATTAATTATAAAATTATACCAAATCTTTAACTTGGACAATAAAGTTTAAAATAGAAACAAGGACCCAAAGTTGAAGGATGTTTAGTGATATTCATTAACAAATTATTATTGAATGTATCTCTATTTATGTATTTTCCAGTTGAAGTTTGAATATAAAACTCCCCCACTGAATATAACTATGGCTACAGCTTTTGAATTCAGATTATATAGTTTACCTAGACCAAAATCTCACATAGACTCTGCACGTCAGAAATTATACCAAGATGTCCCCAGTGCTGTTGGTAAGTCTACTGAAATGTCATGATACACCATCTTGGATAAATAATAAAATTTGAGTTTCGTTTATCAGGTGAAACTTAGAGCACAAATACAGTTTCTAAGAATATATAGACTTCGAAAAATCTTGTTGAAGCTCTTGAGACTAATGTTAATATCTGATTGGCTTTAAGTTTATACACCATGAATAAGGTCATGATACGAAGAAGCAGATTTCTGATAATTACTGCCAGAGTTATGGCCCTTGATCATAGAAAAAATTTTTGGATGTTCTAGAGACAAAAGTTATCATCCGATTGACTAATAACTATGTAGAAGCCGATTTCTGATAACTACTGCCACAGTTATGGCCCTTGACCTCTTTCTCATCAAATTGATTTTAAATTCATACATAGTGTTTAAGGTCCTGAGATGCTGAACTTTATTGATTTTCAATAATTACTGCCAGAGTTATGGCCCTTGATCACTTTGAAAAATGTTGTTGATGCTTTCAAGACTACAGTTATCATCCGATTGACTTTAAATGAAACGATAATTAGACTTTTCCCCCATATTGTGTTTTGTTTTTTAGCTGCTGTGGGTGTATGTTTCGTTGCCAAACAACTTATCTTAAGTTTACTCACAAAGTATGGATTGGTACTAATATTCAGTTAATTCACAGTTTATATGGATAGACTAACTTCTAGCATTTTAGTTAATAGACATAGTTTGCACGGACAGACTAACTTTTCAGCATTTTTATACGCCCACATTGAAATGTGGACGTATATATATTGCCTTCGCCCCCGTCCGTCCATCTGTCGGTCGGTCCGTTCGTCTGTTGGTCGGTCCGTCCATCGGTCAATCCGTCCGTCAATCGTCCACGATTTCTTGTGAACGCTCTAACGCCTAGCATTTTAGTTAATAGACATAGTTTGCACGGACAGACTAACTTTTCAGCATTTTTATACGCCCACATTGAAATGTGGACGTATATATATTGCCTTCGCCCCCGTCCGTCCATCTGTCGGTCGGTCCGTTCGTCTGTTGGTCGGTCCGTCCATCGGTCAATCCGTCCGTCAATCGTCCACGATTTCTTGTGAACGCTCTAACGCCAAAAGTTATCATCCAATTGTTTTAAAATTGATATATGTTGTTTACATTAGTGAGATGAAGAAGCCTATTTAATTTCAATAATTTCCGTTTATTACGTCTAGAGTTATGGCCCTTGTTTCACTTTGTTGAACCTTGTGAACGCTCTAGTGCCAAAAGTTAACATACGATTTTTGTGAAATTTATATGCAATATTTAAGTTAGTGAAACGAAGAAGTCTATTGAATTTCAACAATTTCTGTTTATTATGTCTAGAGTTATGGCCCTTGTTTCACTTTATTGAACCTTGTGAACGCTCTAACTCCAAAAGTTATCATCCGATCTTTGTGAAATTTATATGCATTATTTAAATTAGTGCAACGAAGAATCCTATTGAATTTCAGCAATTTCCATTTATTACGTCTAGAGTTATGACCCTTGTTTCACTTTATTTATACCTTGTGAACACTCTTAACGCCAAACGTTATCATCCGATCTTTCTGAAAATTATATGCATTATTTAAATTAGTGAAGCCTATTGAATTTCAGCAATTTCCATTTATTACGTCTAGAGTTATGGCCCTTGTTTCACTTTATTGAACCTTGTGAATGCTCCAACGCCAAAAGTTATCATTTGATCTTTGTGAAATTTATATTCATTATTTAGATTAGTGAAACGGAGTAGCCTATTGAATTTCAGCAATTTCCGTTTATTACGTCTAGAGTTATGGCCCTTGTTTCACTTTATTGATCCTTGTGAACGCTCTAACGCAAAAAGTTATCACCCGATCTTTGTGAAATGTATATGCATGATTTAAATTAGTGAAACGAAAAAGCCTATTGAATTTCAGCAATTTACAATAATTACTTCTAGAGTTATTGCCCTTGTTTCACTTTGTTAAACCTTGTTAAAGATACATTATGGGAGATTTTTATAAGGAGTTAGCCATTCTTGCTATAACAGTTCAAAAATAGATGATGAAAGAAGAATATATTGAAAATTTCAGTCAAATTACTTTATTCTGAACATAGTTATCACCAGTGTAATTTTTGACTAGAAATGGGATTGAATTCCATCTTCACCGATTCTTAGTATAGCCGATCGTTTGATTGACAGGCGTTAACTCCACCTACATAATCTCTGCTGTCTTCATATCTGAATAAAGTGTTTTAACTTTTTGGATTTTATAACAATTAGACAAAATGAGTGAGAGGGTAAATTTTCATTCTTACTTGTATTTTGGGCATGCATTGAATCAATTGAATATAGGACATAATATTATAATACAATTATGATAAATCTATAGGTATACACCAGTGGCGTCGTGCCTATATAATTGGGGAAATAAAAATATTTTTATTGATATTATTAAGACAGAAGACCTGTCCGTCTGTATTAGTCATCACACGGTCTCCAGGAATTGTATAATTTGTCATTATCTGTGTTTAGTTTATTGCACTTTAAATAGTTTAGATGTCATTTGCTCAACAGGGGCCTTGCTTCGTACACTCTATCATTTAGCCTCGACCCGGGAGTATGACGTCAACGTAACGGTTAATCTCCGCTCACGATGCCATTTAAAATTAAATCAGTCAACGAAATCCCGTTTAAATCCAAGCTGAATCCAAGCCATCCGTGGGTTTACAGAGTTGATTTTGTGCTTGTTGTGTAAATAAAGATCTAATTTATAATTTCTATGACATCTGAAGCCTAAATAAAGACTTGCAATAATCAGATTTAGCTCTTGTATAATGTATGTTTAATGCTCTATTGATGAAAGTTATCATCCGATATGTATGAAATTTATATGCATCATTTAAATTTGTGAAACAGTTCTATTGAATTTGGGGGGTTGGATGGCTGAATGGTTAGCGTGCGGGCGCTGTATCATAAAGTCTGTCATCGAGTTGACTGGCGTGGTTTCGAATCCCCGGTTGTACGTGACAAGGAGTAGGGTCGCCTGTCCAACCTCGTGGGTTTTCTCGGGGTCCTCCGGTTTCCTCCCACTGCTAAAGACCCCTATGCGCAAGCAAATTATTGAAATAAAATTAAACCATATGTTAGTCTCTCTCTATTGAATTTCAGCAATTTCCGTCAATAATTTCTAGAGTTATGGCGATTGTGAACGTTTGAATGACAAAAGTGATCATGTGATCTGTATGAAATATATATGCATTATTTAAATTAGTAAAACGAAAAAGCCTGTCAAATTTCAACAATTTCTGTAGATTACTTCCAGAGTTGAGACCCTTGTTTCAGTTTGTAGAACCTTGTAAACCCTCAAACGACAAAATTTATAATCTGATCTGTATGGAACTGTCTTGTAAAGGCCCCCAATTACCTACAAAGGAATAAATATGCGACAACTCTTGACGACCGCTCGGACTATTTAGCTGCTGTGGGCGTATGTTTTGTTGCCTGGCAACCTATCTTATATTGTAGACATAATTTGCATGGATTGATTAACTTTTAGCTAAATACATAATTTATATGGAT